TAAGCAACGTTGTTGACCAATTTGCATAGCGGTATCATAGTGTTACTTCCACATGTGTGCCGTAAACTATAATTGTTAATTTTAACTACAGTACCAATATTTAATCTACATCAGACACGTCAAACGGCTAATTTTTCCATGGCCCGCAGATAGAAATTTTAATGGAAAATAATTGTAAAATTAAATGTAAAAATCGATAATTATTGAAAACGAAACTATTCCCGTTGTAAATATAAATAGTATCTGCCTAATTATATTCGACGATTTATAGCAAATAAATAATAAACAATAATAATATGCGCTCGTAACACAAATGGACGATTAAACGTATTTTTGTCCATGCCAATGATACCATCATTATGAGACGTCACCATAGTTAAAAAATAAAATTAATTCATATTATATACACTTATTTCGTTTATATGATAATATATGATCATTTTCGTATTCATAAAAACAACACACTAAAACGCTACACGCCCAGGCAAATGAAACGAGACGAATTCAAACATACAGTCACTGCAGTATTTTGTTTTCAGAATTTCCTTTTTTTATTAGTTTGTATAAGACAATGTACGGCGCATTGTGTAGGCAATAGAGGTACTTAACTGTACAGAAGTACAATAATATTATTTTTAAATGTTTTTTAGTAAGTTGTTGACTTACGACGTTTTAGTTCTTACAATTTTAAACTTACATATACCTAATCAAAAATGTTTTGTTTGAAATTGACATTTATATTTTTACATAACAATATAAAATTTAAAAAAATAAGTGCACAACGATATAAGATACAAACATTACACACAACATTGTATAATCTATATTATATTAAAATCATTATTGAGCGCAATTCCAAAGTCCAAACAATGGTACTTTAACAACGCAAAAAGTCACGTGAATTCAGAATGTTTTTGATTTATACAATAGGTATATACACATCAAATGCGCTCAAGTCTCAAGATAATATAATTATATATATCAATAGTCCAATCGGCAATCACACACGTGTGTAGTTATTGTTTGCAAAAAACAACAGAGTAAACGTTTTTAAAAAACCTAGCGAAATATCCACAAGGTTAAACATGGGAACCAAACTGTTAATAAACACTGTTATATTTGCGAGAGAATTGAAAAAAAATTATATACATTTATAAACATTTACCATACCTAACATACTAGTTATTACATAATACATTTAAATATATTTTTATAGATTATTGTCAATAATAATTTAAAAAATATTATAAGCACGATAATATTTTATTCACAAAAGTGATTTTTGAATAAAACGAATTCAATTTAAAATATATAAACAATAATATCAACAAATAATGCTGGAATTCGGCTGAATATCACGTTAGCCGTGAATTTTTTGGTACCATAGGTATAATGATAGATAACTTTTCTGTTTTGGGTACCCTTATCATTTCACTCATATTGATTTGAAATAGAAATGAAAAATATTGTTGTACCTATATTATTATTATTATCATTATTATTGTAACTCATGACTTGATTATTAAATCTCTCGTTTGACATACAATTATAAAAGGTAGAGATAAATAAAAAAAAACTCTGTGATTAATTCTTGGTTAGTTCTGTAAAATGTATATTAACAGTTAAAGATTTTCCAATTTTGTTATTGTATTATGTTTGCACCCATCATCATAATATTATGATGTTTAAATATTTTTGATTGATTATATTTTATACTCTACGGAACTACGCCCAGGATGACTAAAGTAAATTCACTGTACCAAATGATCTTCCGTATATGTATTTCAAAATTTAAAATGACTGTGGGCTGAACAAAAAAAAATGTGTCTATGTTATACGGTAAATTACCCAAATTACTTTAAACATGTTTTTATGCAATTTATATATTTTTAAATAACAACTTACGAGGTATTTACCCTGTATAAGATTCTAAAGAATTTTAACCATTTAACCCATTTTTTATCAACATTTAAAGAAAAAAAAAATTTAATTGTTTCTAACGCTTTTATTATTATGAGCTTAGTATATGTCTTAAATATTTTTTAACATTTTGACAGTATACATAATTTTATAATTTTACAAACCACGGAATGTTTCAAGATACTATTAATATTGTTTTAATCATACAATAACAAAAATCGTTTATAATAAATCTGTGTTTTAATTTCAACCCAAAATTATAAACATTTAAAATTTCATAGATCTTAAACCACAAAAAAGTATATTACGACTTTCTTAAAAAATGGAACTTCTAAAATATGCTCATGAATACAAACTGTTCTATATTATTGATATATTTTTTTAATTTATTCCTGTAAAAATAACTTATAAGAAACTTTGCACGCAAATTGCACACCCTTTACCTCGGGGGAAAAAAAATGTTTTAAACTAAAATTGAAAAAAATACTGGAAAAACGTCAACAATTTCAAATGCAATATATATTTTAAATATATCGGAAAGAAAGAATTGTATGAAAAGAAAATGATAATATTTTCGCTTTTTGTTTTTAATTTTTCCAAATAATATATTAAAAAGCACTGTGAATGACTTAAGTAACCTCCTCTCCTCCCTCCCAAAGATAAAGTTGGATCCAATTTTCTTCCAAAAACCTCCTTCAAAGCTGAATCTTAACCACTCTATATGGTGATGACAGATACGAAAAACGCACATATGTACACACATCATTGTAAAACCACGGTTTTGAAAATCTTTTATCGCTCTGCTTAAAATCTAAATATCTGGTTTTCATGACATACTCGAGTAGTTTTATCTAGTATATTCTGCAGTAATTTTTTATGAACGAAATAGAAACGGGTTTAGAAAATACAAAATCAATATTCTATACCCCAAAGCAATTGAATAAAAATCTATAATAAATCTACATTTTCAATCATGTATTCTGAATATCATTATTATTGTTATTATTTTTGCATACTTTTTCTGTGTGTGCTGTGCTAAAACAAAATAGGGTGATAATGATTATTTAGGGCTCATAACTCGGCTATTTTCACTTTAAAAGATGGTTCAGGAACTTTTTTTAAATACAGCGTCATGTTTAGGTAGTTAGAAAAATATAAATATGCAATTTATCGAGAACATTAAAATAAAAAATACAATCTCTAATCAATTGAAATAGACAAATAAGTATACAGCCCAGAATTCTGGTTGTGGTTAAAACAATACATAATGTCTGAATTAATTTCATTATTCTATAATGCTTAACAATATTAATGAAATGAATGTGAACTAATTCTACCAATAACTTTACGTACTGAACTGTTGGGCTATAATAATTGTTTTGGAAGCTAATGAATTTAAAAAAAAAAACTACAAGTACATAATATATTATAAAATTCAGCATTATACTAACACAGTTAAAAAATCGTAAATTTCCAAGTGAGTCACATAAAATAATTACGTTAAATTTGTGTATAGGTAAGTCCAAAATAATTGTATGGTTAGTCACCGATAGCTAAATATACCTGTCTACAATTGGAATTCTATTTATTTGATTTTGAGTAAAACCATTCGTATTATCTTGAATACACGTATTTTATTGTTATAAATCGGAGTAGTTTTTTTTTTATTATTATTCAAGGGAATTCCAATGTCTTGTAACATTGAGTGAATAATGCACATCCTGATAATTATTATTTTAATAATTTAATGTACCTACGTACCGTGCTGTGCCTTGTTATAAGAAACTGAATTGAAAAACATATTTTTATTATTACAAATAAAAGTTTCCTAATTTCCCGGGGATTTATTCAAACAAATACTTTAAAACGAGTTCACATGCTTTTGAGTATACTAAAGGAAAATTATTTTTAACAATGGCAGTTAGGTAAAATTTTAACTTTCATCCAGCCATGAGATATCTCCCAATATTAAACGAAGTCAATTGCGCTTATAGAATAATACAGTTGCTCGGATAAAAACTGCAAAAACATAAATATTTAATTTCTTCCAATATAGTAGTTACAGTCTTAAAAGTAATTGTATAGTAAATTGTTAATCGGTGTAAAAAAATATGTTTTCTGAAACCACGTGCAGCCGTCAAACCGTCAACGATTACTAAATTTATTATGATATATTGGTGAATTACGATTGCGTACGGACCTTTTTCACTATTACGATTTCGTATAATAATATTATGTTGCCGGTACCTTCCGACTTTAGTGCAACGTTGCCGTTGTTTACATTCGTGAAAATATTTTTGTAAAATAACGTTTAACTAATTTCAGATTGGCTAAAAAGTCTGAACAACAAAATAATATGATATAATATTTAGTAATTTAATCATGAAAAAAATGTGTTTCCAAATAAATATTAAAATATCCACCAAAAATATAATCAAAAAAATTCCAACTGAAGACATAAAAAATATGAACCATGCAATACAACTACTACTAATAAAAGGTGTGACCATTTAAAATAGACAATAATGTATAGTCAGAGATTGGTATAATATATGCTACCAATATAATACTAATTTATGGTTAAGTCTTGAACTTATACTGTATTACATACCATTTAATTTACTGTACTGTTGGGTTCATTTCAATACATTTAATAGATACATTATAAAAAATACATTTAAATTAAATTTTAAAGAATTTAAAATTATGTCATTATGATATCAAATACGTTAATTGTTACTTGGCATTTTAACAGTAAATTTACTAGGTAGGTTTATTTTTGAAAATATGAACTATTGAAAAATGAATATTATGAACAATTTTATTTGAAAATATTAAAAATTTGGTATTAAATAGTGAAACTATAATATTATGACGCTAACGTGTTGCATTCGTTTTAGTACGCTATCTCGTTTTCAGGGGTGAGTCGTAATGTTGACATCATATGCAATTGTTCAAACGTACTCAATCGTACTACTAACAATAAAGGGAAACACGTTAGCGCAATCGCACGTCGCAGGATGTCCGGAAATATTATTATAGCATACGATAATATTTTGACAAAAATTAACAAAACTCACGTTATTCAGTTTCAGCTTGCCAGTTTTTGGTTTATCACTCTTGTAATGTCCTGACAATTGGTAAAGCACCGCTCTGCTTCTCCGCCGTCCGTACGCGTTACTGGCGGGTTCAGGCTCTTCGGGTTCGGCTTCCTCTGTACAAACACATAAAACATGAATCGATGATGACACAAATATAATAATAATAAAAATAATAATAATCATTATATGATAATAATTAATAACAATACCGGCAGTTAATCGACGTTAGTGTATAGAGTTGTTACGACCCTAACCACACTCGACGGTGTCGAATGCTGAAGTCTGCATAAATCGCAGTGAAAGTTTAAATAATAATAATATTATATATTGTATTATATTTTTACACATATAAATCCGAGCAGTGTACTGCTTCTGGTCGATCGTCGTATATTTTTGGATAAAAGAATGTCATGAATAATATGCAAGAAGCTGCGTGAAAAATATTATGTGATTCACACATGGGTTTAATATAAAATACATATGTGAAATATACACGAAATTCGTATTTTCTTTTTTTCCCCTTCGTATTTTGAGTTTTGACATGGAATGTGTATCGCTAAACGTAATGGAAATTCGTCATAGTAAAATGTTTATTACCATAACATCGAATCAAATACGGTTTTGTATCAAATACGTGTGCATACGCCGAGCGCAGGCCTCCGTCGCCAGCACATTCTACGTATAAGCTCCGAAATATGAAATTCAATTTATTTATTTGACAACGACATCGGTTGCACACCGCCAGTGATTTCTATTCGTTGTTCATCGGAAAGGCGAATGAATATCATAATTATACATTTATACTGTATGCCAGTCGTGGCATATATTAACCAGCCAGAAGAAAATTTGTACAGCGTACGTCGTGCCTACGTCGATAACGTCTTATAAATGGATTAAAATGGGAAAAAAATCGTACCTATACTTAGAATGATACTACTAATAATAATATGATACCCATATTATTATAAATGAATAAAAATAGTAATGTATTCCGTAATAATAACTATTTTTTACGTTAAACGTCAATTATTATTAGGTATTATATAGTTGGACTCCCTGCCGATGATGAAATGCCAGTTCAGCTATAGTAGGTCAAATTAAAGTTTTTTTAATAATAATTTTCGATTTAAATGTACCTATCATTAAACCACATATACCTTGGATGGTAGGTACGTTTTATTACCAACAACTGCAGTCTGCAGTCCACGAGAGAAAATGAATATTAATTGACCGTTCCATTCGATTTAAATTTTTTTATCATTGTTTGAATAAAATTAAAGCTAAAATAAATGTTGTTCTTTGTAGTATATATTATAAGACCACATTAATGGGAGATTTTTTATTGTTATTGCTCATTATAGATATGTAATGGAAATCAATTGTTGCATTATCGTGTGTGGAGAAATTCATTGATTTTATATTTAATAAAAGCTTTGCCTTTTAAGAGATATTATTCTATTAATAAATATCTCAAAGAGAATCAAAATATTTTGAAAATGTTGGTGTGAATATAAAATAATATAACGAATTTTCAATTAAAATGTCATGTGTCTAGTATCTATATTAGTATATAGGTTAATTTTTTTAGAGTTTTCACCAAAAACCAACATCGATTTAGTCAAAAACTAAGTTTGAATACAATTCCTATTTTCAATTAATTTTTTTTTGTATTCTTGACGCTTTTGAAAACTACTGTGCATTTCTAATTTTGAGCTACAAAAATACAAAATACACTAAATAAATTCACTTCCTTACCAGAAAACTCACTGAAATTAAAAATCGAATCGTTATTTCGACTACATATCGTGTAAACAGATTAAAAAAACTTACATCATCGCTATAATCAGAGTCTAAAATATAAATTCGTAGATCAAATATAAAATAAATAATTCAAAATGAAAGTATGAATTTTATAAAGGAACACCTCTAAAAGTGGAAACTTATGATTTGACACGATTTCAGAGTAATTTACATTTACATTTTCTTCTCAGAAATAATGTCACTTCCTTAAACATTTAAAGGGCAAAAAATAAATTAAAAATATATCAGCTGGCCATTTTTTTTTTTTTATGGAAAATGAAATTAAACCCTGAGGTATCAAAGACATTATCGAGTTTATAAAATATTATAATACACTAAATTCTTAAATATCGTATAATTCTCTACGCATTTTTTAAATGCATAATATGTAAAAATTAAATACGTATTCCTGTAGTAATGAATAATACAAGTTGCAATATGTAGTCGTAATTTTACTATCATACCTATAGTAAACGACTTGCACCTGATTAATTATTATAAATTAAATGATATTGATATTATATTTTAAGTATAACTGATATAGTCATTACAAATGATAGACTTATTACATATTATTGTTTTATTCATTTTAATTTTAATACCTAATAGTTCGTCTTGAGAGAGTCGGAGCTGGCTCGTTTTTAGTGTAAAAACATGTCTCACATGAAAAACTCTCACGCCTTGTAGAACAGTCATAAAACATTTTGTTAATGTTTTTATTATTTAAAATAAGTGAAAAATTTGAGGATCACATCAAAGGCTAATTTTCAAAATTATAATTGTAGAAGCTAAAATATGCATTTTAATAATGCACAATATTTAATATTTTTCGGAAGTATTTGTCTAGCACTGTTTAAAGCAAAATGAAAATTTTGGCTTTGAACAGATCTGAAAAAAGTTCACATCATTAAAATAAAAACAAATTATCAATATTCGAGATTTCAATGAGGCATGACAGTTTTTCCTGTCAAGTCATTGTTGTTGAAATAATACATCGTATCAACCTCCTAATAGGTACAGGGTAGTAGATTAGTGGGAAAATATTATAATTAAGGTAGGAACTAAAATGTAAAATATAATTTTAAAATTTTATAGAATGATGGAAAATTTGACATTAATTTGTATTGCTTTTATAAATTATCCTAGAATAATAAATACTAGATAAAATATAACATCTGTTTATACTTTTATAAAACTAATTTTATGGAATATTCTCGTCTACAATAAACATTTTTTGGGTATATCAAAATTTTCAAAAAATATATTTTCTTAATAATTTATAGTAAAAAGAGGGGTTGTCATTTGAAAAACAGAAGTATGGCAAGAGAACACTGTCAGGAATAAAAAATTTCAAGAATTTGAAATTGTGGTATTTTAGGTACATTTAAAGGTTCTAAAAATCAGATTTTAAATAACTGGATTATTAAAGAAAAAAAATTTGGTAAGCATGGTTGGTGAATCACTCTGTATAATATATAGCCATATAGGTTTCTTTGTGTGTGTGTGTGTTTGTGTCGTCAATCGAAAATCTCCAGTATGAATAAGGTTATCGATTGCATTCTTGTTGTGGAAAAATGCCAGCAATTTTGCAAATTGGAAGTTAGCGATTTTTGCAAATAATAATCCTCATCTCCAACAAGGTATTTTCACTTGATTCGGTGGTATTGTTCTTTTTTCTATTATCGTGTAAATAACATTCCAAACTTAAAATTACCTTTGATCAAATGCCAAAATTAAATAATGCACCACAAATGATTGACAACAATTGATTCGTATCGTGCATAATCTAATCTCACAAGCCTAATCATAATTTCTATATCCTTCCTGACTCCGTCTATATATTTTAAATCTTAACATTTAACTCAACATATACACCATTAACAAAAATCCAAGAAGGATTAAAGAGCTGATCTTAAACTTTTAATTATTTAAAAAAAACCTTGAATTCACATCAAAAGAAATTAAACTAAGATAGAAGAGAAAATGTTCATAATGTTGATGATTTTCCCCACTCATTTGTTTTGACATAAAGTGATATCAAAGTATTTTAATTTATATATAAAGACAAAAGTACAAAATTGAAATTAACATTTTTAATTTTTTAGAATAAAATAACTGCAGTGTTAACAATTTAAAATAAATATGTCAATTTAAAAAATCCATTAATAATATGTTATGTCTTATATATAATGTTTTTATTTATCTTATGAATATTTAAAATCATTAATGAAGCATTGTAAAATTAACATTGTAACAAAAAATATTAGTATTACCAAAGTTCTATTTTCCACAATGTATATAGCTTTAAGCATTTCAAATTCTTATAAAAATTAATGAAAATTAAAAGCACTAGATTAATCCAATTGCATAAACATAATACCTTAAGCAGCTCCTATTTAAATATACTTTTAAAATTTAGAGATTATAGATAGTAGATTTTCAAGATATTTTGTACAAATCTCTGTCAAGTCGAAATTATTAATATCTTTTAAAATTAAAATTCCAGCATAAAAAAAATAAAAAACAAACAACTAGTAATACATAATATTATTAATGTTTAGTGAATACTTGATTCCCAGGCTAATAAAGACATAATATGTTTCAACATTTTATTGTAACATTGAACTAGATTATTGGACATTAATGGCATTTGTTTGAAACACTGTTAAGTCAAGCGTGAATAATGAAATAATAAAGAAGAATATTAATATATCATCACCAACGTTGTAAAATGCGAGTAGTACTAAAATATAAAAAAATATTCTTAACTTGTCAAAAGCACGTATTGTTGGTTTTTAGATAATATGTAAGTACATTAAATAAAAAGCTGGTATGAAAATAGATTTTCCTGAAAGTTTGTTTCCAATAATATAATACTGACAGCTTTTATGATGTATGAGTACATAAAAATAGATACAAATAATACTTCTTACAATTTCTTTAGTTAATATTTGAGTGTAAACTAATACGCTAATACAGACATTATCAATATAATTACGGAAAGAAAACTATATAATATAACTGTTAAAGAATACATTTTTTTTTTTTAATGTAATATTTAACTAAACTATTATAATACGGAACGTATAATACATGTGTTTTAATAGGTGTTTCAAATTTACATTGTATTATGAATTGATTTATTTTCAGCTTAAAACCAAATTTACTAGACCTGCTTGTTCTTTTATTTTTAAGAAATAATTTACTATAGTATACAATCTGTTCCCTTAGGCAAAATGAGAATATGCGATAATTGGGTAATATAACAGTGAAACTACTTAGTAAAAGAAATCACCCTGCATTGGTGACGTTT